ATTAGAATTTGCCACTTTGGTGACCATGGCTGCAATCTTCAAATTCCTGACTCGAATCCATATTTATCTAGTTAATTAGGAAGGTTATATTTCTATATATGTATGTATGTGTATGCGTGTGTATATATATATATATACATATATATATATATATGTATATGAACGGGGCAGTACGTACGATGGGTAGACTCAAAATCTCCATCTATCTGTACATACTTTTCCCGCAAGAAGAATATTATAGGTTACGATGCAATGAATTTTCGCGTGCGTTTAAATTAAATATTAATGTCTATGCTATCGAAAATAATGCTTACGAGGATTGATTCTTCTGAATGTACGTACTAGCTAGGCAATTAGTGGGGAGGCTCTTGTATATAATAGGTCGCACATTGATTAAGATGAATCCTATTGAAGGTTGATAATTATTTATTTAGATCTCACGAGCATAGGGCTTGATCTCCTTTGGATATATATGATCAACAATGTGTTTTCAATTGAAATGTATCGTCTAAGTCAGACAAAGAAAGGAGATGGAATTTGGCTGAAATTGAAAATTATCATGTAAGTACTTGTAATTAAGATTATTAAGCCAGAAACACCATTCGGTAAATTAAAACAGCAGAAATATATGTGTATGTATATATGAACCAATTGTTCATCAAGTTTTGGGCCCTTTATCAGAACTTTAGATATTTCATTATTTGCAAGGAAAAAGAAAACTTTACATATGTCAAAAGTCGTCAATATTACAATATTATACAAGCAAAATCTCCAACAAAATAAAATTCAAACGCGAGAGTTAATTAACTGCTCTCTAACGATGTGATGACCTATTGGCCATGTCTAGCTCCTCAAGCGGCCTTGTAATTTTAGAGTTGTATATTGAACCGCTGGGTGCTTTCCATCATTGCAAACCTTTGCTTGGATGGTTTCTGTGTTGATGATTTGGATTCATGTATCACAGATGCCTCGCTCTGTGAGATGCCGTCTTGAGAGAGTCTGTGTCTCGGTACTCCTTATTGTACTTGTTGGTCACGACACGACTCGTGACATGACATGAATTGTCACCTGCGGTCCTTAGAATTAGATTGCCATGCCTATCCGCAAAAAAAAAAAACACACATTTGAGATGCTTGCCTTGAAAAGGGGGAACACACACACACACACACACATATTTGAGTTCCACTTTGTAGAAGAGCTTCAGCTCATATTATTTTCATTAACCCATGAAGGGGGTTATTATTCCTTAGTAAATTTCTCTAATTTTCACGTTGATCCGGTACAAGAAGGCTAAACATCTCAAGTTAGATATTTAAAAGGAAGCAAAATCAGATTGGTACCTCTATTTATCATGAGATGAGATAACATTATTTTTGGTTCATACCTTTGTATACGGAGAAAATATGTGTGTGTGTGTCTATATATATATATATATATATTCATATACCTTTTGATTATTCTTGTAAGAAACACTAGTTCAGAAAAGAATGCTAAGAAGAAAAAAAAACTAAGAGAATTTTATGCAATAAACTGTATCTCAACTGACATAGTTTAGAGCAGTCCAAAAGGCTGAAGGAGAGCAATAATTACTTGATCAATAACATATATAACGAGCTTCTCAAATATTATATCCTGTCTTCCAAACTCCTGGGGATGGAGTTGGGACTTTCCAATATGTTTAGATGCCACATACCGTATCCATTAATCTAATGTTGATGATGATCAAGACACATTTTGTCTACTCTCCCTCAGAGGCTTCGAGCTCACCGCGGTCTCCGGTATTGCCTGAAGCCTTTGAGTGAGAGTAAACAACTAAAAATGCCTTGGGCCTCCGATATAGATATGATGATGCGCGCGCGCGCGCACACACGCAATACAGCAAGGCACAGTTTGCCGGTACTCTCCCCCATAGGGTCTCTTGAGCCATGTCCCATGGTTGCTTTTGGAGAAGCCCCACGGTTTGCAACAGTTAAGAAGCCCTTGAGGGAGAGTCAGCAACCAATGCCTTGAAACATGTGTATATATATATATATATATCTCCTAATTCACTCATGATTTGCTTGTTTTGTTTATTGGTTTGGCTTGTTCGTTGAAGAGGAATGAGGTTTTGGAGCACCTTTTATAGGGGCAATAAGAAAGAAGAGAGAAGCTGTTATCATGATCAAATTATGTCACGTGGTGCAGCTATAGCAATATTTGGTATCGACTTCGTTTGGTGGGGTCCCCATATCTTCACATTTGACTTTTATAATAGTGACAAAATCAGATCTATTGCATAGTTTCGCTAATTAAAATCCAACCCTTTATTAATAAATTAAGATTGGCGAGAATAATCAGCCTAACTCTATGCTCACAAAACCTAAAGTTCCCCTTTTCATCAAAAGTCAAATTTATTTGATTGAGAAAACTACATATTTTACCTCTTTAAGTATCGGACTTGATAAAACTATCCATTTTGAAAAAATATTATGCATTGACTAGTTCTAATATAAAATGTAAAAATATATAAATTAATGTTAAAAGTAAAAATAAAAAAATACTTTATTTTAAAAGATATTTTTAAAAATATTCCAAATTGATAAGAATCGTGTATCCATCACCTGGTTCTAAGACCGTACCAAGTCAGAATCTACGCACACACTTTCTAATAAGTCCATAGCCAAGTTATTCCAGTTAACAAATTGGGAAAACTTACACTTTAATAAATAAATCGAAAGTTCTGTATAAGATATATTTATCTAATTAGTTAACACGACCACATACTTCTAATCATATAAAATAACGCTGCATAGAGAGGAAAGGTGGGTTCCACCTATGCTATGCGCGGAGTTAGTACAGTACGGAGCCCAAAAGCTTTGGCCGAGAACATAAAAAAAAAAAAAGAAGTTAGAATTGGCCCTTAAGAACCCCGAGAAGGCGATATTTAACAAGTTTGCTTTTCTTTGAATAAAGAATAAAGCAGCTTATAATACCAAAGAACATTAGGCATCTTTACCTTATCTCTATTAGTATTAAGGTCAAGCGCAATTATAATATTCTTTCCTGTTTGACATTCTCCTCTAATCCTAACTTTTATATATATATATATATATATATCTATCTTACGTGTGTACACACGCATACATGTATATGCGTTTTACATATCTCTTGTAGCCAGCCAGTGGAATATTATCCCCAAATTGGATAATGGGTTCATTAAAATCCGTCTCAATTTTCTCAAAACATTATAAGAATCCATTTAATTCACTGATTAAAATTAAAATATAACTTTATGAGAAAATTTTTATTATAATAAAATTTAAATTAATAAAATAAACAGACCTAAACTTATGCCAGAAACAAAGGGGGCTAAAAAGAAAAAAAGTTTTGATGCAGAAGCAGACAAGATTTTGAGGAGTGACGACCTTTGTCATAACGTGGCAGACGTCTACTAGATGCTCGGTGCTCCAATACTCCCCCTCCAAATTGGGAATGACCCTCTCAAATTGGAAAAAATTCTGCCCCCGGTACACATCACAACTAAAAAAAAAAAAAAAAAAAAAATATATATATATATATATAAATCTTATAGATTGACAATTAATGAGCACCTTCTTGGATGCATTACACCTTAACGCTGCACGTTGAGTTAGTGATCTTTTTTTTTCCCTTGAATTTAAGAAAAATTAGACAATTGATAAATGGTCGATTTTTTTCTTTTATTTTAGATAAGTGATCGTTTTTCTATAATAATTAATCAGTAATACACCATGATCAACAAATGATAAACCGCTAATTAATAATATGTCACCAAGTTAATCAGTAATAAAACACTAAGTTAATCAGTGATAAATTAAAATTTATAAAAACAAACAAAAATTTTGCTAAAGTTATAACTTTAGTCATTTACTAAAAACAGCCCTAAAAATATCATATATTCCCATATCCCTCTAATTTATTTACTTAACCTCATAAGTTGATTTATCAATTCTGAATTTTAGTATTTAATTAAAAATTTAGAGTTATTAGTATTATTAGTCTTTGAATTATAAGGATTGAATTACTTTAGTTCTTGAACTTTAATTTTGACAAATTAATCTCCTACACTAAAATTAGTACATAATTTTTGAAATTTCTTGAAGATAATCATGTTCCATAATAAAATTGCAACTTTATGATGACGAAGCAAAATTAAAATTTTGAAAAGGTCAACAATGTTTATGTAAAATATGAAAATGAAATCATTATCATATAGAGATTGCAACTTTATGATAATGCTCAACATCATAATTAAAGAAATAGATTAACAAAATGATAATAAACGATCGAGAACGTGAAGATTGCAATTTTATGATAATGAAATAAGAATATAAATTTGAAAAGATCAATAAGATTTGAGGATAATACGCAAGTGTGATTATTATAATGAAGAATACAATTCGGTTGAGAATTGCTTGGGAATTCATTGATAGTTACTTTGCACATTGGCTACTCTTTTTTTTTTTTTTTTTTTTTTTTTTGTTGATCGAGCCCTTTTCTCTCATTCCACTCATCACGATCAACATCATAATACAAAAAAGGATAAAATGAGTGTGGAAATTATTATTAATTTTTTTATATTCGTCTATAATTTTGAATCATGATTCATGATTCTCTACAGTGTTTTCTCTCACAAAAAATACACGTAAAACGAAAATAATTTTAAATCATGATTCTAAATATATAAACCAAATGTCTTTTAAATAGATAAAATCATATAACAATATGAAAAAGCATGTAGTTTTTAAAAAGAAAAAATTACAAAAATAATTATTATTTTTTATCATTTAATTATTTACGCATTAAAAATATTCTGATAGAATATAAAATGTATTCCGGTAGAATACAAAAAAATATCTTACCAGACAAAAATATTTGATAAATTCTGACAGATATCAGCTAAAATATTAATGATATAAATGATAAATTTTAAAATTAATGGCAAAAATAAAATAGCCGTCTTTTTCGTGGTATCTTAAAAATGAGATTCACTCTTTCACCAGGGAGACAAAACTGGTAAGCCCAACCCACTATCGCACTCAGCTGGACCGAAGAAGAACCATCTCGCCCAACCCATCCGCTTTCCATATTCACCTTGATTTTGGCGCGAAAATTGACCTTGGCTTCATGGTTAGGGTTTCAATCTTCCGTGAGATTACTGTGACAGAAACAGAAAAAGCAAAAATTTCGGAACCATTTGAAAGGGCTTTTGCTCGAAGAACATAGTAGCAATGGCGTCGTCACCTCCTACGAAGCGCAGGAGAAGAAACCAGACAGAAGACGATGCAGATGACACGTCATGTCCGCCATCTCCGACCTTGGAGAAATTATCCCCTGTGGTCGTCTTCGCTCATGGTGCTGGTGCTCCCTCTTCTTCCGACTGGATGATCAGGTCCGTTTTCTCTTTATTTGATTTATTCCTTTTCAGTTTACATCAACTATTACTAGGATATGGTTCTTATGGCGGTTTATATGAACCCCAAAATGAATTCTTTAATGCTTTGAAAATATTTATGGTTTTTTAGATCAATAAAAGATTTCAGGAGTTAAAAGATTGAAGGAAAAAAATGGTCTAAAGAGTTAATTCTATGGTTTGTTATAAGAAATTCAAATAAAATCTAAAAGCTTTGATTTTGATGCAGATGGAAAGACATGCTGGGTAAAGCACTGCACGCTGTTGAAGTCGTTACCTTTGACTATCCATGTGAGTTTATTTTCATTACAACAACAAGGATTTTTTTTTTTTTTAAATTTATTTAGGGTGAGACTCCCTAAAAAAAACTCGCACACCGTAAAAAAAACTCACCGGTAGAACACCCTAAAGGCAAAGAGAGTAGATTTCCTGAGACTCGATTTAGGAAACAGGTTGATCTCCTTTTTTTTTGTGTGGTTATTTGAAGGTTAACATTCAAAAGCTTGCTGAGCTAAATTTTAACAAAATTTGACTCTATGTAGACATGTCTGGCGGGAAACGGAGGGCGCCTCCTAAGGCGGAAAAATTAGTTGACTTTCATGCCGATGTTGTCAGGGAGGCTGTTGCTAAGTACCCTGGTCATCCATTGATTTTGGCAGGGAAATCAATGGGCTCAAGGTAAGTCTTTTCTAGTTTCTTATACTTATAATCTTTATGAGCACTTATTCATTCTTAATTCTGTATACAAACAATAGTCGGTTTTTTCGACAGTCTTGTCACCGTTATGAAAGAACAGCTTTCTAACGACTCACTGATGAAGGGCTTTGCCAATTTACAAGAATTGATTTTTATCCTCCCTTTTCCTCAGGGAGGAAATTTTGTACAAAAGAAGAAGATGTATGGTAGCGGGTTCTCATGCTAGTACATGTACTGCATTTTCAATACTGCATAAGAATGTGCACCGATAGCTACAAGTGGCGGTGCTTACCATTCTTTAATGGTGTTTCTAATTTTCTTAATCTCAACCTGTTATTGTGGTAGAGTTAGCTGCATGGTCGCTTGCAAGGAAGACATTTGTGCCTCAGCAATAGTTTGCTTGGGATACCCCTTAAAGGTTTGCCATTATTCATACATCTAATTTATATTCACGTTTACATTTAGATTAAAATAATTCGGCTCACAAAGTGAGTTGGGGGATTTTTGGATATAAAAAAGAAATGTGAACTTATTTTTGTTGCATCTAGAAAATTCTACATTTGGGTGGACTATTAGCAAGAAACCATTCTACCTTCCTGGCTTGATCTTCCATTTTGCCCTTTCCTTCACTCTTACTCTTGGAAAGGGTCAAAGGATTTTGGGGAGGTTGGATTGCTCATCAGTTTATCATAGCCTTAAACTTGTCATCAATTTTATTCTAATTAGCTTCCATCAATTTCAGGGCATGGGTGGAGCAGTAAGAGATGAGATTCTATTGCAACTTACTGCTCCCATAATGTTTGTGCAGGTACTTTTTCTACAGCACAGTTTTGTCCCATGTAGTGGTTTATTTAGTTATTTCTTGTTGATTTACTTCTTATGGACAGATGTCCATAGATTCCATTTTTCATTTTTTATTTTTTCATATATGCCGTTTTCGTCGCCTGCACTTTCACCATATTTATAATCTCTCGTGCTTCTCTTGCTCAATTGCACGCTAAATGATTCATGAAGGGTAACAAGGACGCGCTCTGTCCACTGGATAAGCTGGAGTCCACTCGAAAGAAGATGAATTCCGCAAGTGATTTGCATGTGATTGATGGTGGCGATCACTCCTTCAAGATTGGGAAGAAGCACCTACAGGCCCATGGGTCGACGCAAGATCAAGCGGAAGATCTTGCTCTGAAGGCCATTGCAACCTTTTTGTCGAAGTCTCTTGGAGGAAGTACTTGACACCTTCATTTCATAGGATAAGATGTCAAGTTTTTGAAATGCACTCAAAGGGCTGTCTCATGCTGTCAATTTTATGTTTCATGAGACTATTCCTTCTGCGATGCTAACTGTCTCGCTTTGCGTTGAAGACCGATCAGTTTTAATTTGCTATTTGATGCATGATTATGTTGCCTCAGTAAAGTAAAGACCTTGTATAAAATGTTACACTTGTCTTGTTGTATATTGGTGGTTTTTCCAACCTATTTTGTATATTGGTGGTTTTCCAACCTATTTTGGGCTTCATCGACGGATTGATTCAAGTCAGATTGCCATTTTAATGGTACTTGGTTTAAGACGTTCCCAATTCATGTTTCATGCCTTTATTTTTGGTTGTCTATTTGAGGTTTGACTTTAGATTCCAAAAGAATCCCAAATTCATGTTTCATATGGTTGGTGCTTCCATTGGATTTGGTTACCAGAAAGTGTGCATCTTCTGCAAAAAGAACGAGGAAATAAAAAAATAAGCATACAGAGTGTTGTAAGAAAACTTGAAAATTGATGTTCAACGGTGGTAGAAGTTCCTGCTTTCTTGTGTAGGTTTAATCCATTGTTTTTCCACACTAGCTGCTAATTCCTTAATTGCACTTGGTGGAATGAGAAGCGAATTACAAATCTAGTTCCCTTCTTTCACCGATATCTTCAATCACCATTACCGTGGTTGTTAGCCGCCACCGCCGGCAGTACTGCAGCTCCTGTTACCATCCCTGTATAATCTATAATCTAATCTAATCCAATTCAATCTAACAAGAGAATCAAAAATACATTTTTTGTGTTTTTTAAAAAATACATTTTTGGTGTTTTTTTTATTTAAAAAATACATTTTTTGTGTGTTCCTATTTTATTTTTTATCCATAGTTAAAACAATTTCTTTAAATGTGTCATTGCTTAATTGTTTTCAATGTAATTATTTTAAATGTGTCACTACTTAATTGTTTGTTATGTAATTCCTATCACATCAAAGGTTATATTTATACATATTCCTTCTTAAAATAAATTCAAAAATCCTTAATAGTTGTATAAATGAATTTCTCGTTAATTGATAAATAATAAACTGTTTTTGATACGGTAATATGTATGGAGCACGTTGAAAAACATGTTTAGAAATAACTTAAATCCAGAATCGATGCTTTAGACGCATACAGCCGATCATACGACAAGTTCCCTAAACCATTATAAACGCAAACCTGCTAAAATTGAATATTAATAAGCATTCACACTAGCATCGAATAAGAACTGGGACACAGATTTCCGTTCTAGTAGTTGACACACGTCCCCGTTCATTTCGCTGATTCGAGTTTAGAATTTGAGTTTTGCTACAGTAAAAAGCTCTCATAAACAATCACATCTAACTTTTTTACTACAGTAAAAAGCTCTCACATAAAATCACATCTCAACTCGAATTAAAAACTCGAATCAGCGAACTAAACGGCCCAGTGTCGAATTGACTTTCTAGATTACATAGCTTTTTATTAATGAAAGAAACTCTCATAAAATTGCATATTGATATAATCATTCATGACCATCAAATTACGTTAGATTTCTCAGGAATTACAAATAAATTAAGCATGGAAGAATAATATATATGCTTTTTGCTTAAGGGAATATTATATAGTAGTCTTATTCATAATTAGACACACGCAAATAGGTGTGTTAATTCTTACAAAGGACACATACGTTTCATTTTTGAAGCCCTGTCACATAGATACGGACTTCTATATCTTTATTTTCTTTCAAATACATGCATATAATTATTTTCTCGGCAGTTGGCCTTCTAATTTTTAGATGTTAGATACGTTAATTTGTGTCTCAAACATGATTATGTGTATGTTTTTTTTTATTTTTTATTTTTATTTTTTTATTTTTTGTCCGATCCTCATCAGCTAAAATTTTTGCAGCTTTTATCAAATAGCAGCTAAGGATTTTTTTTCAATGTTTTTTTTTTTTCCATCATTTAATGGTTAAAAAATGTGATGTATGTATATACCACCTTTTACAAGCATCTTCGTCGCTGTCACTGGTCATGTCACTGCAACTCCTGTTGCAATCCTTGTACTTCTTCTTGTTAAGTGTTCGTTTGATTCGCTGATTTGAGTTTTAAATTTGAATTAAAATGTGACTTTATGTCTTTTTACTGTAGTAAAAAAATTAGATGTGACTGTTTCTGAGAACTTTTAATGTAGTAAAACTTAAATTTTAAATTCAAATCGGTGAAGTGAACAAAACGTAGCTCTTGTTCTTCTTCTTATGGCAATCACCCTTCATCTCACTTTTCACATGGCAACTAGCCATGTCACGAGAAGAGCCATAGAAGTATTCTTGCGCTGCCTGGACATGACCATGGTCATGTTGGGCTTGGCCCATCCATTGGTTCTGGCCCATGTCCGGCTTCGCCACAGTCACATGCTCTGTCACGTGGTGGCCATAGGTTTGACCGTAGGCATTGTGGCTCATATTAATAGAGTTGTTAATTAGGCTGGGCTGCCTACTACAGTGCTAGATTTGGTACGGCCCGACCCTGTACTGTTACAGGCTGAGCCGGCCTGGTACGTCTATCGGGCTAGGATTGGGCCTCAATTTTCTAGCCCGCGACCCAAGCACGGCCCAGGCCCGTTCAAGACCCAGGCATGGCCTGACATGGCCCAGACACTCGGCCAGCCTAACAGTCATAACCGACACGGCACGCGGCCCGGCACGACACGGGCCCAATGGTCCAATTCAGAAAATGAAGCTCCAAAACCCCTATAAATACCCCACATCCCTCACAACATTATCAACTCTTCTACATCACTCTCAACTCTCAACTCCTGTCACTCTCAAGACTCTATCTCTCATATTCTCTCTCGGATTCTTAGCTTTCTCTCTCGAATCCTAACTTTTTCTCTCGAATCCTAACTTTCTCTTATCTGTTTCATTTACAATTTTCAATCAAATTGAAGACATCCCGAAAAACAAATGTATTGTACTCATTTTTTTGTATAATATTTTCTTCCTATTTAATGTTTATAAATGTTTTGTTAACATTAATTTTTGTTTTTGTTTTTTTTACAGAAAATGATGGAAGGAAATTTTTTTGATTTTGGAGATCAACCATTTTTTGAGGATGAAATTTTGATGCCTAACTCCAACGCCACTGATGCGGATAATGTTCTGGTTAATAATCAATCGGTGCACAATAAGGATGTTGGAGAACGTGCAAGGGAAAAAAGACCGCGCACTGCTCCTGTATGACAATATTTCACAGAGGAGCTACAATCAAATCCAAAAATAGGTGAAATTGAAATGCGCACGGTTTGTAAATATTACAAAAAACACTTTTCCAACAAAAAGGTGGGAGTACTGGCCATCTTGATAGACATTGGAAAGCATGTCTACCATTACACCAAGGTAGTAGTGTGGACTCCCGCTAACAAACACTTTCACTCACAAATCAAGGTTTACAAAAATTTTCATATGATACACAACGTGCTCGTGAGGCACTAGCTAAATTTTTAGCTAGTGCCAAATTACCATTGTCTTTTGTAATTGATCCAGCATTTGAAGAATTTATTCAGACGGCATTTTGTCCACAATTTAAAAAGGTTAGTAGAAACACAACTAGAGCTGATTGCATGAAAGTTTTTTATGTAATGAGACAATCACTTGTTGATAATTTTAAGTCTTTTAATGCTACAGTCTCTTGCACATCTGATCTTTGGGAGGGTTGTAATAAAACTGATTATTTATGTGTTACGACTCATTATGTTGACGGGGATTAGATTTTGTAAAAGTGAATTATTGATTTTCATTTTTATGTCCTTTTCCACATAATGTAAATGCTATTTTTTCTACTATTATGAAAATTTTTAAGTTTTATGGCATTAAAGATAAAGTTTTAACCATTACTTTTGATAATGCATCAGTAAACACAGCTGCTATCAACATGTTCAAAGCAAATTTGAAACCACCTTTTGGTTGAGAATTTTTTCATCAACGTTGTGCATGTCATATCATAAACTCAGTAGTCCAAGCTGGTATTGAATCTATACCCGATCATCTAACTAAAATTAGAGAGGCATAAACTTTCATCTCTAGTTTGGGAGCTCAACTCTAAGAATTTTGCCAATATTGCAGGAATATCCAGATGCGGCCAAGAAAATTTCCAACAGATGTAACTACTATTCCATATCAACAGATAATCATGGTGAGCATTTTATTTATGATGCAGATTGGAATATTGGTGAGCACTTTTTTAAATTTTTAGAAGTATTTTACAACGCTACCGAATTACTTTATAGTGTGTATTATCTTACTGCTCATCTTGCTTTGCATCAATTATTTAATATTTCTGAAACATTTGCTTATTATAAGAATACTTATCTTTTTACACGCATAGTTTATGAAATGAAAAGAAATTTTAAAAGTTATTGGGCTGGTTGTCCTATTTTATATGCATTAGTAATAATTTTAGATCCTATATGTGGATTAGATGAGACATAATCTTTGATGTCTGCTATAGCAGATTATTTATCTATTGATATGGAACTAACCATTGATGATGAAAGGAAAATGTTAGAACAATAATTGTTTGCATTGTATGAAAAAATACGGAACTGGACAACAACAACAACAGTCAAGTTCGACGTCAAAGAGTAGTTCGGGGCTTAAAGGTTCATCGTGGAGCTTCTTGAAGAGAAAAGAGAAAGCATCGGGATCATCATCAACACATGGACCGTCTTCAGAACTAGTCAAATATATTGAGTCAAATTTTGTAATTGATGACGACAAACTAGACATCTTACAGTGGTGGAAGAACAAACAAGATCATTTTCTAACATTATCCATGATAGCATGTGACATTTTAACAACTCCAGTGTCCATAGTAGCAGCAGAGCAAGTATTTAGTGCAAACAATCAAATTCTTGACGATAAGAGGAGCAAAATGTACCCGGATATATTGGAGGGGCTAATGTGCATGAAAGACTGAGAAGATGCAAGAAGACGAAAACAACATTATACAGATGATACACTTTTAGACTATTTTGTAAACTTAGACATCTGGAAGCAATTAGGCCACAATGTAATTTATTTATCCTTGTATACTGCACTATTTTTTTCTTCGCTAAGGTTTTGTCCCGATATCTCTATGGGTTTTACTTGACAAGGTTTTTAACGAGATAGTCATTTATGTGTACTTCTTCATATTATTTCAATTCAACAAAATCACATCTTTTGGGGGCATATGATATATTTGTTGGGAATGGTGTCCTAGAAGCATGAGATGTAATAGGATATTTATTATTTATTTAATAAAAGAGTTTATTCATTATTT